TTTTTGAGCAATTCGAATTGAGTCGAGTTTTCCGCGTTGAGTTCGAGTGTGTGTGAGTGTTTGAGTGGTTAATTAGCTGCCGAAAAAATATATATGTATATAATGTATTAGGAACAACCAAGCAACGCATTAAAAATAAATTCGTTGACAATACAATACAATACAGAAATGAGTATTCTTTGGGGTAATCAAATTAGAAATATCAATCTAAAATTACATACGTATAAATATATATATTTTTTAGTTTGTTTTGCAAATAATAATATACACTTTTTGATTTGTTAATGTTTTCTTGCTTTCCCGTCTTACTACAACCTACAGTGCTAATTGTTTTTTAGAATAAATCATAAGGACCTAACTTAGTTCAACGAATTTATGAAATCAACAACCAAGGGCTTTAAAAATATATTGAGTTTAGTTATTTTTGAATTGTTTTTTTTTTATGACGATGATGAAGAGTACCTAAAAACATTGCTCACTTTTTTTAGCGGGTTTGCTTTTTGATATACAAATACAATGCCCTATATATAATAACTATATATCATGTCGGTATATGTATACATATAAATTCTGATCGGCCGCACACAAAGTTTCAGCTTTTGTTCTGGTAAAAATCTACGCATGAAGCACATTCTTCTTCTCATCTTCTTTTTTCATCCTTTTCTGCAAAACTATTTTGCAATTTGAATTTTAGTTTTTAAATTTTATGTTTGGTTTACTTAAATAAACTCCATAGAACTGCGTTTAGCTGCGTATATTTTTGTTTTTGGTTTAGCTTTTTTTGCTTTTACTGGACGACATTGATTTGTTTATGTTTTTGTTTTTAGTTTTGTTTCTTTGTTGCTTAGCTTTGATTTTCAACTCTCCAAGGTCCAAGGATTTTGTTCTTGTGGCTCCTGTCTCTGGCTGTTGTTGTTGTTGTTGTTGTTGTGTGTTGAGTATCTTGCATCTATCGGTTTAGTTTTTGGTTGTAACTTCTACTTACTGCATCGTAGGGAGAGGAGTATTTACGTCTAAGTTACTAACTTATTCGCATTGCTTGCTGCTTGTTGTTCATATTATTAATATTATTATTGAGCATTTTTTCGTCGAGAGTAGTTCGAGTGCATTATTTGGCTGACTGGCATAGATTGTTCTTAATATGGCGTGAAACGATTGAAGCCACCGCGATACATGGCCTATAAGGAAAAATTAGGAAGAAAATAAATAATATAATTAGTAAAATTTTACAGTATCCTACTTCGTTAGTATCTTTATTTTTAGCAGTCCTAAAATCAAAGTGTAAAAGGACACTTACCCCATAGCCAGGCACTGGTCAATGCCATGTCCTAGATAAGGATCTGCATACTCGCGCGCATATCTATAAATATTTGATTCATTTATCTTATTAGTAAGTCTCAGGTGTGAATTTGATGAAATTATTTTGTTTTAGTCTTTGGATGAGTTTGTTAGTTGATGATTCAGTTGGTTTTTAGTTATTTAATTTTTTTGCTCGTCTTCTGTAATTCTTATTTATATACAATTAACCATACTTGTTAAGTTTAAAAAGTGTTTTGCAAAATTGGTCTATCACAATTGTACATCTTCAGTTTCCAGTTTTAGATTTCTACACTTAACAATTACACACAGGATAAGGGAAATGTTACGAAAAGAAAGAGTAAATTAAAATAATTAGACAAATATTGAAATAAAATCTGTTAAATAAACAAATTCGCTGTAAGGAAGGTTTTTTTTATAATAAAAATAAAAATAAGTAGAAAGGTTAGATAATTCAGCTAATGTAAATGAAATACAAATACAGTAAATAAAATAATAGATACTTAAAAATACTTAAAATATAAAAATGACTTAGTTATATACAAATAATAAATACAGTATAAATAGTAATGTAGAAAATAATAATACAGAGAGTATAGAAAAGTGCTACCAACATAAGTAACTTAAGAAGTTTTAATGACTTCAAATAATAATAAATACTTAGGATTGGCATTTACCATTTTTACAGAGGAATTGCAAATTGAGTATAATTTTAAATAAATTAAATAAAGATACGCTAAATATTATTCAGACATTAACTTAAAATACTAAACCTCACTATAATTTTATAAGATTCTTAGAAATTATTAGAAGTCTTTTGAAAATACTTGTAGAAGCCTAAGACTTGTATTTACAATATTCCAACTGAAGACATCGTATTTGTTAAATCTAGTAATGGGTTAAAATTTGGTATGATTGCTTTGTGATCGGGACTGTCAAGACACTGCTTTCGGCATAAATTTGCAAGAAGAAAGTTGACTCCATTTTATTTTTCAAAAGGATTTTTAACGTTATACAAGGTGCGTTCCAAAGTAAACAGACTTTTGAATCTAGCGTCATCTAGTGGCGCCATCTATATGTCAACTGGTGCGTTAGAATCTGCTATCCTTTATCGACTTCCAGTAAAAATTTCATGACATTTCATCTATTGGAAGTGAGGTTATTGCGTTTTAAGTGTCAGTATGTTTTTGTCATCGGTACGAAAATGAGCTTCGAACAAAGAGCCAACATTAAATTTTGTTTTAAAATTGGTAAAACTTTTACCGCAACGTTCAATTGATGAAACAAGTTTATGGCGATGATTGCCTATCCAGAAAGTTGACTCCATTTTATTTTCAAAAGGATTTTAACGTTATAAAAATCCAATAAAAACTCTATTAAATTCAAATTCCAAATGCAAATCAGCCTTCAAAAGCTTACTCTCAAACAGAGACCTCACTTTCGCTTGATTAAAAACTTACCCAGTACGGTGGCATAGCCGGCGATGCCGGCTGGCGGCTGCTGCTGCAGCGGCTCCATAGGCGGCCCGGGCAGCTACCGCCGTGTAGGTGGTGGCCGCCGTGGCGTACGCCTGCTGCTGGGCCTGAGACAGCGGTGTCTTTAGCAGCGGAGCAGTGGCCTGGAAGAGCGGTAAGCAAGGACATTAAACTAGGGCTTTCTCGCGCGGAGAACAGACGCAGTCACAGATCGGGTCGGGATCGGTGTATGGGTCTGGACCTGGATCTGCGAACTGGATCTGGGTTTCTCTAGAGCGGGGGGTTTGGGCGTGACAACGGCAAACGACACAAGACTAGCGGAGGAGGAGGAGGGGGAGGAGCATGTGTGGTGAGCAAAAAATTAGGAACCCAAACCGGTGGAGTACGCACACACAACACAGATAGATAATATAATCGAGTTATCAAAACCAAAGAAATTAACGGGGTGCAAAAACAAGTGGCTGGGGAGGCGGTCAGTGTGTAAGGTGTAGTAATATCTATGTACACTTAGGTATAACCTTTAAAACCGAGCTACGGAGAGAGAACCCAAGATGCCAGGCTACCAAAACCGAAAAGCGAGGCTCGTAACAGTAAATAACTTAGCGTATTCGATTATAAACATGGGTTAACTTAGGACTTATGGCATAATAGACATACAAGATTATAGTCAGGTGCATACATTAAATATAATTGAAACGCATAAACGAAATGACAGAAGAAGAAACTTATATGGTGTGACAACAATCAAACGTAAGTTCAAGGGGGAAACAGATAGATATATCTATAAGTAGGTGCAGTTGGAATTTGACTAGGAGCTAGATATGATTATTTTACCAAAACATTCTGTGGAACCGGAATGCGGTTGATCGTATGTGGGTTACTGTTTAGCGTAGTCACAGTGCGGCGCTGTAATTTATGGTTTTTATATAGTTTTTCAATAGTGTTGTGAATTGAAATTGTTGTGATAATTGTTGAGTATTCGTTGTTCAGTATGTTGTTGTGACAGTCGTGAAAGATAAACCAAAGAAGAGTTTTGTAGTAATTACAAAATGTTTACAGCATTGAATATCATAAATGTATAATAATATAGATAAGATTATTCAGCGAAGCAAGAATATGTGATAACAAATTAGAAAACTAGCAGAAAGAATAGGATTACCAGAGCGTTTAGCCTTTCTGTGGTCACTAATTGATTGTTTGTAAAGAAAACCAAACCAAAATATCGGCAAGTTTGGAAATGCTCAACCAAAACAAAGGATGCAGTTATATAATAGTAGAGAGCTTATACACAAGTGTCAGAGTCAAGTTCCAGTTAACAGACATTGAGTTAATTAAGCTTAGCTAAGCCTCCAGCGAGTGGCTTACGACAAATTAAGGAAATAAAGTGTTGTTACCAAGTTCGATCTCACTTAAACAGCAACAAATACGGACTCGCCGTTGGTTAGTTCGGGATAATGGATAATGGTGGACAAATGCATAAGGGAAATTCAAATAAGGCGACTTATAAAACAAATATAGAGTACGGTATGAGAGAGTAGTGGGTAAAAACGATTGTTCCAAAACCAAGTCAAAACTCAATCGGTGTTTTGTTTTGCACAAGCTACCATCATCAAAAATATACAAATTATAAGTTGAATCGTTCTTAAAGTTCTCATTTTGTGGTTTTGTTTTGTGAGGTTAGCAATATTAGTTTTGACAAAAGTTTTATTACATTTAATATGGCGGCTGGCTGAGCGGCTGGAACTTCAGTGACCGGTTTGGCTGCCTGTAAAATTATATAATATTTTCATGTAATTTGTCATGACAAGAGAGTAAGAGTAGTTAGGGGGTTTTAGCATTATAATATATAACTTATAATCTAACCTAACATGATAATACTATATCCTAGTTGTAATACGGTTTGGTATTATATTATTTATTTTGCATATGAAACTCACCTGGAAGCGTAGATTCGGATCAGCGGAAGCAGCGGCTGCTAAGAAGGGATCATAGTATACACTGCGATTTTTTTGGGGAGGGAAAGAACAAGACAATAGAAAAATATATTATTAATAAATCATATAGTTATACGGGGCATAGTATCTGGGAAGTAGAGGTGGAAGAGAAAGATAGATGTGAGAGGAATCCAAAACCCTTCGGATCCTTGGTTCCCCTCTCACTCAATTTATGTCACTTAAAAGCAAAATTCAAAAATTGTTCTTTTGGTTCATATATTTTTTTTTAACGCACTTGTGTGGTTTTTAAGATTTTTTTTTGTTTCGGTCGGGATAAGTTTGCTTTGTTTGTCATTTCATTGGGCCAATAAAATAAACTTTATCCACTTCCGGTTCAGGTTTCATTTGGGCTTTTTTCATGTTTAGTTTTCAATATTAAATGTGGTTTATTGTTTTTGTGGGAAACTGAAAATATATTTAGTAAATTCTGGGCACCTATACGGGAGAGTTCCCTAACCCTAACCTATCCTATATATATCGTAAGTACTAACTAATAGCCTGTGCTGTGAAAAACTGACCTGATCTGACCTGATTCCCCACTGGATGACGAACTGATTGGTGGTGGAGAAGGAGGAGATGTTGAGACAGAGGAAACGAAAGAAAGGGAAATTATAAGGATTATACTATATATATAGAGTTGTCGTTCATTTTATAGAGATTAACTAGCAGCAATGTTAGCCAACCAACCAATATTAACCAATCACATTCCATACTCCATTCCCCAAAAAAGAACACTACGGAAAATTGTCTTGCTGTTGCTTGCTTTCCAAGAAAAAAAATATGGTTGTTTGCATTTAATCTTTAGACAGAACAGACACTCATGCACCTAGCTAATTAGTTAATTTTTTTTCTTGCTTGTTGTTTCAATGTGTGTTTTTGATGTGTGTTTTTTATAAGTATACAATATTTAATGGAGCATTCATTCATACGCTATATGGTGTGTGTTGGGTGAGTGTGTGTGTAGAGAGAGAGAGCAGCCACAAAAGAATATGTTAATCAAAGGTCTATATATTATATTGAGAGAGAGAGATATATAGATGTAGTGTAATGTTTGGGGGGCAGAACATGCACGCAGGCGCTGGCAGGGCGCGACACTTTCAAGTCAAATTCAAATTTTAAATCGAAATTCATCATACGCCTAGTGGTACACAATATACAATCGACGGTTGGTAGGTAAGGTCCTTAACCAAAATAATCATAAATATATAAGTAGGTCAATTGAACGATGCCAAAAACACTGCTGTAGTCAAAAGAGGTATGATCAAATATATATAATGTGTAATATATATAGAGTTATATATAGGTTTTTTTACGTGGATGTGATGTGTGTTAGCGTGCGTTAATCGGTTGCTGCGTTTTATATTTTTTTGCATTTAGCAATTTTGTATTCAAGTTTTTTCGTTCGTCTATTGCTTGATTTATACAAAATAGGTCAAAGACTATAGGTTTCATTAATATGCGATATTAAAACTTTACACACACAAGATAGCTAAAAAAAACATTGTTCACCAACAAGATAGAGAGACAGATAGAGTAACACAGAGAGATAGAGAGAGATGGTAGGAAAAACATAGTCTAAGCTATATATATAAACAATAGCAGCTGCGGGTTAAAATTATGACAATGACAGAGATTTCTTTCTGTGTAAGCCAGCACAAAAGAAACCCTAAAGTTAAAGAAAGTATTGTACAATTATGGATTTTTTACTACGTTTATACGCCAGCTACTTGCAGAGCAAAATTAATATTTAATTTTTTATTAAGTTTGATTTAATATAATATTTATGAAAACATATCGAAACAAAATGAAGTGGAGATTTTTCCTTTAATATTAGTTACATTTGTGTTATATTTTTAATTCCAACTAATAATGTGTTTGTTTTAGAAACAAAAGATCTAAAAGCCTTGGAAATAAAGTATTTATCAAACCAAATTTATTTTAAGGTTATCCATTTCCGTAGGATTTATTTGCATAAACTAGATATCCATATATACCTGTGGCTTGTTAGTAAGGATTTTTATAACTATAAATCAGCTTGAAAACCCAAAAAGCTCTGCTCAAGTGCAACATCCATGAAAATATATATACATAATTCGTAACTAGGGCGTGCGTATAAACGTAGTTTGATGGGCTATGGGTATTAGGTGCCTAAGATTAAGAATACATTCAAAATCAAATCAAAATGGCGCAGCGGAACCAACTAAGTACAAACTAAAGGTGACATTTCTATCTACGGCAAACACAAACTACAGCGGAATCGCGGGTTTGCGACGACAACGGATGGGTGACGACGAGTGGCGAAGAGTCGCGGCCACTCCGGCGCTTCCGCTTCCGTTTCCGTTTCCGGTTCCGGTTCCGGAGTCGCTCAGCGCTCAGTGCTCAACTTACTTACGGCGCGAATCCATGCAGGGCGGCAGCACTGTTGGCCGCATTAGCCGACGCAGCCATGGAAGCAGCAGCCGCAGCAGCAGCGGCCGTTTGCGGTGATGTGTGGCGCCCGCCGCTGAGAGACGGGCGGCATAGGCGGCGGCGGCGGCGGCAGCAGCGTTCGGATTACCAGCAACTCCTCCTTGATTCTGGGCAGCGGCTGCAGCGGCAGCGGCGGCGGCCAATGATTGCTGCAATGCCGAATGTTGCTGCTGGGCGCAGCGGTGGGCACGGCAACGGCCTGGAGTTGCGCCAACTGGGGGCCAAGGCGTGGGCATGGGCGGCATGGACATGGGCAGCATGCGGATGCGAGGCGGCTGCAGCGGCGGCGGCGGCTGCGGCTGCATGTTGCTGCTGGGCGACGGCGACCTGTTGCTGTTGTTGTTGCTGCTGCTGCTGCTGCTGTTGGTGTTGCTGTTGCTGCTGATGTTGCTGCTGGGCGGCGGCCACTGATGTTGCTGCTGCTGGGAGACCGAGACCTGATGCTGTTGCTGCTGCTGTTGCTGTTGGGCGGCAGCGACGGCGGAGATGGCCTGCTGCTGCTGCGCCTGCTGCTGCTGCTGCTGCTGATGATGATGGGCGGCAACCTGCTGTTGGGCGGCTGCTGCAGCCACGGCGGCGGCGGCCACCTGGCGTTGCTGCTGCTGCTGAGCGGCGGCGGCGGAGGCCGCTAGCAGATGATGGTGCGGGTGATGGGGATGATGATAGGGACTGGCGCCGACCACGCCCACATGTCCGCGCTGGATGCCACTCCACGCATGGCGGCGGCAACGGCGGCTGCAGGAGGATATATCGCATATCGCAATTTAACCCACGCAAGAAACAACCAAAAATCGTTTTTGTTTGTTTTGGCGATAGTTTATCGGTTAAGATAGGTTTTTTGTTTTGTTTTTTTTTTTTTTGCAACGATTCGACACAACATTTTGTATTTGTTTATATATTTTGGTTTGACCAGTGTATGTTTGTTTATATATTTATGTATGTTCATGTGTTTATTCGTGTGCAAAAAGTAGAAAAAGGAAAAGAAAAGAACATAAAACGCATGCGGTTAGTTTTCTCTCTTTGATATATAAGTAAATATTTATATAGTAGAGTATATATAGTATATATATGGCAAATTCTAGGCTTCATATTTCATTTTTATAGCGCTGAGATGATGTTGTTGGTTCGGTATATACATATAACAATACATAAGACATACGTGTGTGTGGCTCATACATATGTAAATGGGTTTTTCTCATATCGAAACATACTTAACATTATAGAACACTGATTACCAAGAAATAATGCTACGCAGTAGTTGCATTTATATTTGCATAATATGTATATATATAGAGATATTATATCATTGTCAACAATACGAAAAAACATTAGACCGATCTTTAGTACAGTGGTAGATATATAGGCATAAGTACATACATCCAAATATGTACCGTATGCGACGTTTTTCAACAACTCATTGCATTTTGCTGTGTGTGTGTTTTTGGGGTTTTAGATTTTGTGTTAAAAAGCATTAAGGTAAATATATATATAAAATACATTTAATTGTTCGTTTAACCCCTTGCACCTCTCGAAATACATTTAAAACTAGCAAGAACATTTACCAAGTGCTTAAAAGTGGAAAGAGATAGCGGGGAGATGATAGTTTCAGGATTTTGTAGAGGATGGAATGGGTTTTCCTGGGAAAGGTGAAAATATGAGCTTACATGCTGGGTAAAGTGTGTTTAAAACTTAAAACAAAATAAGAACTTATAAAGGAAGATTCTTTCTGAAAGCAGAACTCGTTTGCTAATAAGTGAAACTAATAAGCTGTTCGTTCTGCTATGGTGATACATTGCAGGCAAAGCGTGGAGGAAAAGGCGAGAAAAGCTGCCCTTTTGTTTCGTCAAATAAATAAATATTTAAATAAATATCCCTTTCGGCAACCAAAATAAATCGCCATTAAAGTGAAATGGCACCACAAGAGCCGCAGTTCAATTGTACTTTTATTAATTCCACGAGCGGTTTTATCACTCAATTTATAATGATGGCAGGCCTAAAAATTAAAAATTTTGTGAGAAAGTACCACAAATACCGAAGGCTATAAAGCTTGCCAATAGGCTTAGCCCTGCATTGTGACATTTCGTTTGAAAATCATTGAAAATCAGTGCAGAAACCATAATTGAAATGTGTATAAAATAATATTTTGGGGGAACATCATTGTGGCGGTTGGGGCAACATTTAGCCACAAATTAAAAATTTGGTTTGGCCAAATGTGCAATTAAAAATTCGATTTGCTATATTTTTATGCAAATTTTTGTTAAATCGGTATTTGTGTGTGCACACGAAGAATTTTCGGAGAAGAAAATTCTCATCGTATTTATGAAGCTACATTTTCGCTAAAATCCTGTGTTAATTTCTTGAAAAATGCATTATTAAAGGAGAAAAATAAATGCTGGGGTATGTTTTCTGTCTGTGATGGTGGTGAAAAGGTGGCATGCAAAATCAATTTTTAAAATTCCATTCGATTTCTGCTTTGCGAATTTTTAATTGGCAATTGAATTTGCAAACGTGGCAAAGACAAACACAAAATAATCCAAAATCGTGCAAACTCCAAAGGGTATAGAACTTAAGAACATATATATACGGGGGGATATAGGAGCAGAAATAGAGACAATACGAAAGAGAGAGAGTATGGTTGCTAGAAAGTGATGCTCTAAGAGAAAGGCGCCTTACAGAAAAATGCTTGCTGAGGCAAAATGTTCGCTCTACCGATAAACGTTACGATATATATATATATATATATACGATATATTCGATATATTACGATATAGATTTTAGTCTAAGGTTAAAGCTAAGATTCCTTGCCAAACTTAACAGCTAGAAACAGTTACGGTTACAGTTTCAAGTGGTTGCCACTAGAGATTATCACTGCGATCGAGTGTGTGTTGTGTGTGGGAGTGTGTGTGTGTGTGCCTAGGCTTTTAAAACAAATGCAATCTCAAGGATGGCAAAATATATATGCAATATTTATATGGAGTATATCGATAGTCAAATAGTCATACCCAAAAAATGCGTAAACCAAAGTAACAAGACAACAAAACATTTATACTTGTAATTAATATGGTACAAAGATTGATTCTCATAGCTAAATAGTTTCTGTGATCTTGGTTTCCGGTTCTAATTGTAATTATTGATGTTGTTGTTGCAGTGTTTTGATTTATATATTATTTTATGGTTATCGATTATAAGCGAGCTTGGTTGGCGTTTTGGAATTCATTTTTTATTTCTTTGGAGCCTTCTTTTGAAGGAAAGTTTTAAAATGATTAATATATGTTCTCAATTTGAAAATTCATCATTATAAATAAATAATTATAACAGATATGATTTTAAACTTTTTCTTTAAGGGTATTTGGTATGTTTAATGAATATTTCATAAATCAACATTAGAAGATGTAATAATTAGCAAAGGGGTATTTTTTTAATAGAAGACTGTCTGAAGAACTTTTATGCTTGTCTGAGTAATGAATTTATTATTAAATTAAGAAACTCTTACGCAAAATCAGCTCGCTTATAAACGAAGTAAGTTTTTGTTATATTTTTCAATCTTTTTGAATTCTGCTTTTAGGCGCTCGCTTTCACCAAATTCCCAGTCTGGGGATATTTTTGTTTTTCATTCTCCCCAATCGATGTCGTACCTCCGCCGTGGCGCTGCTGCTGCTGTGGTCGCTGCTTGGACAGCGTTGTGCGGTGGGCGTGGTGCCAGCATAATGGGCGTGGCCGCGCTGCGGCCGCTGCAGCGGCATGTGCGCCGATGCCGATTGGGCCGCCGCACCGCCGCCACGGAAACCGATGGCGGCGCTGGGCCACCGGCATGGAGACGGGCAGCTGCAGCGGTGCGAGGGTGGGTGCTCCGCCGAGGGGGCGCCCAGGAAGGGCCAGGCGGCGGCCACCGGTAGGCGATAACCTTGGATTTTGGCATACAGTTTCGGTTAACTAATTGTGGGTATTTTTTTGTTTCTATTGTTTTTCGTTTTTGGTTTTTGTTTACAGTTTTTTGGAATATGAACTTATAATGAGCGTTGTGTGTTAGGTGTGTGCGTGGGGAGTTTCTGTATTTTTTTTTTTTTCAAATATATATAGGTTGGTTGGTTTATATAATATACATATTCGAGGGATGCATGATGAGGTTGCTGTTGCAGTTGCTTTTGTTGTTGTTGGTCAAAGAAAATACAAGGAATAAGATGCATAACTCGCAGGACATTTGAATTGCTAGGTTTTACTTTCTTATATATTTAAAAGCGTTTAAATAAAACACTGGCTCTCCAACTTTTCTCATATCAAATAATCCTTTGGCATTATGCATCTTATTTCTTATACTGCCTTCGTCAAGGCTTACTTCTAGTGCTAAAAGTTAGACTTTTTGGTTGGATCTTGACGCGCGACGGCGAGAGTTACCAGTTACATTTACGAGTACGAGTACGAGTATAAATAGTTTACGCTAAGGAGCATTTCAGACATGTTCAGACCAAAGGAATACCAGACCAAACGGAAAACGTGTAATAACAAACTAAGGACAACAAATAAATACACAATAATCAAAGTCAAATTCAAATTGAAATTCAATTCATAATCATAATTCATAATTCATAATCATAATCATAAGGGAACGCACATACAACGAAACTTGGTTAAGAAAGGATATGTAGATAAATAGTTGGCATATAAATTGATATATAAAGTTATATAGTAGGTAGTATATGCATAAGACAACACAGCCGCAATATGCTAAACTCATAACCATCGTTATAATGATCGCCAGATTATCTCTCAGTCACCATTGTCATCATCATCATATTATTTATTATTATTATTAATTAATTAATTAATTAATGTCAAATCAGGACTAGAAAGAAAACGAGCAGACGAGAGCCTGCTTTATTTTTTGGGATTTTCGAGCGGGTGTTAATGTGGCTTTTATGATTCAAACTCTGTTGTTTTTGCTTGGTATTTTTCACTTTGAATTGAACTTTGTTAATGCAGACGAAAAACGAATAAATTATAATATAATATCAAAAAATAAGGGGGAAATAGTTGAACAGTTACAAACAGTTATCAATAGTTGCAGCATTATATTCATATATAGATTGTATGCATAGTTTATATAGATTAACGCAATTTCCGTTGGGACTACCAAACAATAAATTAAATACATGAGATAATCTCTATGAAACGAAAGGAAATGCTCATATTTCATATTATTTTTTATAAATGTTTGTTTGCAGATTGCAACCGAAAAATAAAAGTAAGTAAAACGAACAAATGCAATTGCAAAAATGGTTTCATTTGGGGTGAACTTTTTGGGACGAGTCTCTTTTGGATCCTCCCGGCGATGAGCCTACCATGGGCTTATATATGTTCCATATCCATAATATCAATATCAATTTGAGCCTGCCTAAATATTTGTTTTGCTTCGGTCTTTGTTTAGTTTTATGTTTTTTGTTTTTGTTCGGCTACAAGCTAGAAAGTTCGTTCGATAAAACTCTTACAAATACATGTATTTTATATAAAAAAAACTGGTCATTATTTGTACATTTTATGATACCTTATTGCTTCTCTGCATTTGTGTTTTGGTTTATTGTGGGTGTGTGTGGGCGTGTTTAATGTGTGTATTATTGAGAATTTACAACAAAAGTACGTACGTCAGGCAATAAATACTTAATAATAGCAATAAAACGCTGAAGACGAAAAATATGTGAACGAAACGCTTACCTTCGGGCCATTGTACGCAGACTGTGTGTGTGTGAGATATCCAGCAGAACGATTTATATATATTTTATATTGAAATATATATTCGTGTTTTTATATGTCGTGGCATGGAAAGGCAAGAGAAATATTTTCATTAGTTTTGCATTTAATTGGGCTTTTTTTTTCTTGTTGCATTTTTTGTATCCTTGCTGGATATAGCCTATTATAAATATTGTTGGATACATGTCTTAGGCACATATATATAAAAACAGGCAGAGCTCTATTACAGATACTAGATTGATTTCTTTTTTCGATTTTGGGTTTTGTTTGTTTTGTTTTTAGTGCTTATGGTAATTGGTTAAATACTGCAGAATACTAATTGATTTGTGGCAATTTTGTGTTTTCATTGTTTTGGCTGGCGCATGCAGCATCCTTGTGTTTTCTCTCATTTGTTGGCAACTGAGGGGAGGGTATTTAGATACATATATGAAATCAAAACAGACTTGCTCATATAAATAAGTGGGTTCGATTGGGTTTATGCATATAAAGGGTTTGAAGTTTGGTGGAATTCAATAGAAAGTGATTGGTTAAGGGAAGAAATGTGTTAACCAGATAAATATTAATTTTTATACTTAATTCCATTTAAGCTTGAATTTGTTTTTATAATAAATTTGTTAGCTTCTTAAATGATAAATTTAAATACAAATATGGTGTATTCAAAGGTTTGCAGCTCAGCTAAAAAAATTACAAGACTATAGGCGTTACTAATATTATAAAGATTTTTTCCAGATTTAGAGCATATGTAAGTTTATTATATTCAAGACTTTTAAGATATTTCAAGACCTTTAAATTAATGGTGATAACTATCGATTTCATAGTTAACCACCTTTAACTCTTCAATATTATGTACAAATTCTATTTATCGACATTATATCGATACATTGTTAGTTCTCAAACGATCTCCGGTATTTACTTTGAAAACCTTTTTCTCTTGTGCAAAAATAGAGCCATTGATAAGCTTTTGCATTCATTGGAAATGCAAAAGAAATGCTTAACAAAATGACAAATAAGCAAGCAATGATTGCTTCCTCCACCAATCGAATGGTTACACAATGAGCTCCCTCTTCCTGTCTCTCGCTCTCGTCTTTGTGTGCCATGGAAATTCGCAGGAGTCTGCAATTGCCCTGGAAATTGCAAAATAAATACCCCAGGAAAAAGCGGCAGGCGGTGGCGTGTGGAGGGGAAAATACACCGAAAAATGCAGTAAGAGAGACATGTCAGACAGAAGCAGACACTTGCTTGATGGGCATGGGGAACAAGGACGAAAAGTCGACGGGCATGGGCATGGCGCATTAAGTTTACATGTCAAAGGATCAAACGCAAAAAAAAGAGTAGGAAAGGAAGGAAGTAAGGAAAAAAACAGCTCAGGCCAGAAAGTTAAAATGCAAGGAGATGAACCAGAAGTCGGGGAAAAATCAACCTATACGGAGTAAATTTCCTGCAAATGCACCAGTAAGTGTGCGGGGCATCGCATTTGCATAAGACATAACAAAACACAGGCAGAATAAAACGTTCTGCGGCAGGACCCAAAAGGAATCCCCTCAAGGATAACCAGAAAACTTTAACTTTATTTCTTTTCGTTTTTTGCTAAATTTATGTGTGGGTTTGGGAGCTGTGTGTGTGAGCCACATGTTGCAACTTGTGGTTATTTGCAATTATCCCAACTGCCGCCGCTGACTGACTGACTAACTGACTGACTGGCTGTGGACTCGGTGACTGACTGCTCTGACTCCTCGTGGAGCCCATGACTGCCGCCTAACGAGCAGGACAACGACGTGAGTGAGTCCTCGTCCTCGTCCTCCTCTCCTGGCTGGGTAATAATGCAGCAGGCCGATTGCCATGCAAAAGGAGCCAGTCGAAACGTGATAAAGTGACTGCCAGGGAGAAGCGAGGAAAAGCAAGCTCTGAGCTGCTCAGCTGTCCTTCAATTCTTCGCCTTGTCTGGAGGCACTGGAAACAAGAAAGAAAGCTAACTCGGCACGCCCGAAGTTTATATACCCTTGCAGATAGAACTTCTATAATAGGAATCCATACAATATAAATATATATATTTGTGTTAAAAAACAATGATAATAATACCTGCTTTCATTCATTCACCTATACATATATATTTGCAGTTTACATTCACAGATTGCATTTTCCTCTACATCAAACGATCGTTTGTATGGCACCTATAAGATATAGTCGTTCGATTTTCCATAAATTGACAAAAAATTTAAGACTAATATAAAATAGATATACCTTAAATTTGATGAAAATCAGCTGAAAACTAAAAAAGTTATAAATTTAATTGTATTAATTCTCGATCGTTCCTATGGAGCTATATGATATTGGTCCGATTTTCATAAAATTTTACACAAAATTGTAGAGTATAGTAAAATGGCTATATCTTAAATTTGATCCAATTCTATTGAAAACTGAAAAATAAATTTTTTTGTAAAAATTTTACGATCATTCCTATGGCAGCTATATGATATAGTCGTCCGATCCGGCCCGTTCCGACATATATACGAGTGAGAGTATATAGAAGGCTAACTACAAAGTTTCATTCAGATAGCTTTAAAACTGAGAGACTAGTTTGCGTAGAAACGGACAGACGGACAGACGGACAGAAGGACAGACGGACAGACGGACAGACGGACATGGCTAGATCGACTCGGCTGTTGATCCTGATCAAGAATATATATACTTTATATAGTCGGAGGTGCCTCCTTCACTGCGTTGCAAACTTCTGACTGAAATTATAATACCCTGCAAGGGTATAAAAAGGGAAGGGGTTTAAAAATAATATTTAACTAGCTAGGGATTCTTAATTTTTCAGAAACTATAAATATTATAGATATTTAAATGTAGATAAATCTATAAGTAATTAATGTATAATAATCGATATTATCGAAAAATTGTAGTGGCGACTGAAGACCCTGCCACGGAAATCAGCCTAGAAGGATGCTACGCTTTATGTGAAGCCTAAGCCTAGCTTCGCCAGTTTTGGCGATCACGTAAAGGTGGTCAAGCGACTACGTAACAAAGCTTTGAGCAAGCTTGCACGTGCCGTAATGTAGAGCTGCATTAAAACGCGTTTTGGCATATTTAACAGAGAATTTACATTTGCTCTGAAGACGAAGAAGAGCGCATTTGCCAATTAGGAAATTTTTTCAAGCAGACTTTCCGTTTCCGTGGGAGGTCTTTTTAAATCAAGGTCTAGAAGAGCATAGACGTGTCGGGTGCTCGTAATTATCAATAAATCAGACAGTGGCAGTGAATCGCGTAAACCAAGTGTTGAAGTGGCCGCTGAAAGCTTCGCAGAAAAAGTGAGTAGAGAAGTGCCAAATTTGTGGGCACAGTGAGTAACCTTTTTGTTGCCCAGGTTAGGAAAACTAGAAAATTGGAGGCAGCAAAGCAGCGTCGACGCACGGCCAGGGCCAAAGGTCGACAAGACCTTTCGCCAAGGGAAAATCCCTTAATTTTGTTACCAGGGCTCAAGCCAGCGGGTAATTATGAAAATAGAGTGTTTGTTAAAGGCAGTGCTTACTGTTTGAATGGAAAAATTTACAGATTGGGCCCTGCAGTAAAGAGTCAAGTCCCTAGGCAAGGTGTACCCCTAACCTGAGGGGATGAAGTAGAGAAGCTACAACCAGCGCAGGAGGAGCCGATCCCCAGGAAAAATCAGGCCAACAGCGCGGATGCGCAACTCATCTCTTGGCCAGCTTCGTGTCGGGAAAAGCGATTAATTCTTTTTTTGTGAAAATTTTGCTAACCTCGCGGGTTAACCTTGACCTGACCCCTGTGTTCTAACCTCCTCCTAATGCAAGTGAAGAATAATTTTAAATAGGGTTTACCCTTAAAGCCCATTTTGGTTACTTTTTCTTCTGAGATTTGTGCGAACAATTTGCTCTAACAAAGACAATGTGATTAATGGCCCAAAACATTTGTTAATATTGGCCTTTGAATTTAAAAACTTATGCTCGAATTATGCTCTCGATCTGCTTGCGTCTAGCCGTGAATTTAATGAAGCCGAATAATGAAAATTTATGCTGAATTTCCAGTATTTTAATTTAATTTATTATTAATTTAGTTTTTTTTTTTTATTTTACACCTTTATTTTTTTACTTCAAATTAAGTTCCATTGTTGCATAGCAAAAAGAATAATAATATAAGAAAAATAGGGCCATTCGGACTTTAACCCTTTTTTTCCAGAGAAAAGCTTCGAGGGAGATCGATCTTCGCCGATGGAAAATTGAGTGAGTCTAAAAAAAACCATTCGAATGAAAACATGCAATTGAAAAAAAAATGAAAATACTTGAAAACTTAAACCATTTAAAAATGATTTAATTTAAAATATACAAAAATAAAATCTCCATAAGCTAATGCAACAATTGAAATTGAAATTGAAATGAACTAAGACATGAAGTAAATTTATTTAATAGTTAATAGAAAAGAGAAAACAAGTAAACGAACATTTAATAATACAATTTAAATTTGATTTAAACTTTTAAGAAAAATTATTTCTTTTGAATTTTGTGCACAATTTTTAAACACATATATGTACATCTATGCACCTCCTTACATTTTACATTTTAATTTTAGCTTATATTTATCTTTGTTAGCTTTAAGTATTGAATTAATTTTATTAAACAAGTTTTAATTTAAAAAATCATGTTAGCTTAAAAACCGGTATATACCGACTCGTAGGATGACTCCACGGTCGTAGGGTCCTGAAGGGATCACCAGAGCCATGCTCTTGCGGCAGGTGATCGTAGGTTGGGTGGGCACAAAGCGAGCACAACAACATCTGTGTCTCTGCATTGTATAGATTTTC